TCTACTCAGGTTCAAAATGTCTTGTAAGTCAATCATGTGAGTCATTTTATATCAACCATGTAATTCTATCTAAGAATCTTTCCTGGTAAACAAAGTCACTTATCATGCTGTTTATAAGATTTACAGAATACTAAGTTCCCCTTCTGAAATTACATGATGGGTGTGGTTCCTATTTTGAATTATGCAGCTGAATGGTGATTTCACACTCACATAGTCTAGTATAATATGCAAGTTTCCAAAATTCGTCATTCTGCCATGACAAGGAACAGTGCTAGAACATCACAGGATCTGACAGGAGGGTTTGAAACACCACTGTCTGTCAAGCCTTTTCTGGCTGTGCTAGGAGCTGATTCCACCTCAGCCCAAAGAAGCAAGATGACTGACAGACACAGCGGCCAGTCAGAGGCCTCACTGCCTGACTCTCTCAGCTTTCTAACTAGATACTTGAACTCCAGACACTTGAACTTGTACACTTGAACTGCTGACACCTGAAACAAAATTCACAGTCATTCTACACAAAAATCCATTCCTGGTTACCGCACACTTTCATTTCAGTACTATAATTTAGGGTGGGTGGGAGGTTATTTTGTCACGGCTATCATTAAACAACTGTGAGTCAGAAAACCTGGCTGATCTACTGCATATAAGCCAGATATCTTCCAGTAGACACTGATCTACCTTTTGCATGCCCCCTAAGAAAATGCACGACATGTTCATGAAACTGGTGAGACCAGACACAGGTGGTATCCAAACTAATGAAATAAAACTGTTAGTGGAGTCAAAGTAAGAAAAAAATAACTGGAACATCAAGAGAAATATGGGTGAATCATTTCAAAGTATGAAGACATCAGAAATTCTCATTTGAGTTACTATCAACCACCCTGAATCTATGTAAGAAAACTGGGGTATAAATCTTCTAACTAAATAAAAACCAGGAGAGGACTATGCAGATGGTAAGAAACAGAGAGCCAGTATGGTATAGTCGTTAAGAGTGCTGGACTGGGCCTCGGAAGATCTGGGTTCTACTCCCTGTTCAACCATGGAGCCAACTGGGTGACTTTAGGCCAGTCACAGACTCTCAGCCCAACTTACTTCACAGGGTTCTTACTGTGAGGATAAGATTGAGAGGAGTAGAATTATGTAGGACTCCTTGAGTTCCTTGAAAGAAGAAAAGGAGGGCTATAGATATAATAAATAAATAAGCAAACAAGCTTTTCAATGACATCCCCAGAGAGGAAGCAGGTATAGCCTACAGTAATGGTGCCCTCAGAAGCACCTTTTTCATTTCCCTCATTATAAATTGCCATTCTCTCCTGCAGGAAAGAGTAAAATCCTGATCTTCAGAACACCTGTGGTAACGGCAAAACATTTTTTCCACTCCTGTCACTATGCAGCTCTCAACCCTCACAGATAGGAATCCTACAAGAGGGTGCAATACAAATGTTCTCTCACCACACATGCACACACACGCACACTAAGTTGACAGAAATTTTGCTACTAATTTATAGAGCAGGATACAGCCCCTAGAAACATGTAAGCCTTCCTTAAAAGAAACTTCTTTAAAGAAGTTGTGTGGTTAGGAAGAGCATTTTCCTACAAGCAGTGTGTACTTTCAAATAACCGTAACCTAATCATGCTTAACTAGGAAGTACAATTTCTTTTTGTCAAAGAAAAATCTACATTGTATTTCTTTTAGTTTTTTTTAATGAATCAAACTATCTATCAAATCAAAGAAGTGGGAGGATCACTCACATTTGTGCTGCTGCTAAGTTTTATCATAAAAGAGCAGAAACAGTTCAAGCAGAGTCTGCCATTTTTACTAACTTTTGGTTCTAATGATACACAAAGTGATTTTTTAAAAACGGCAGCAGTTATCTGACAGACCGCATTCTCATCCTTCCTCAGAAAGAATTTGCTGGCAGGTAGTTCACTATTATTGTTCATTCTTTCAGTGTTATATTTGCAAATTTGTTAAAAGAATATTAACATCAGACAGTAAGTGTTCTGGAGGAAAGTAATTCTATAGCATTGTTAAAGCTAAATGGTGGTAGAGTCAGTCAATGCTCAGATGGGATAACACTGAGAGCTACATGTAATGTGCTCTAAACTTTCTAGAAAGAAGATCAAGAGTAAGAAAGAGGTAATTAGAAAAAAAACAGTAAAAACCTCTGGAAAGATGAGAAACTACTTACTCATAGAGAGCCACTGACCTCAACCTGTCTCACCATCAGCAAGTGGTTTTAACAACGAAGGGCACTGCCTTGACTTTTTAAACAATTTTCAGGTGCAAGTGCAATACACAAATTCAGCCCTCCATCAATGATCTTTCTGGAAAATACCATCATAGTACTGTATAAAAGAATTCACAACAGGTCATCCATTACACCAAATTGGCCCAATTAATTTTTTACCATTGTTTTCTTCCTTTTATTTGATTTGTTCCCCTCCTTTCCACCCTGAAAATGGTGCTGAAGGCAACTAGTTATATAAAGTGCTAATGAAATTGATATTATGGGTCAGTTGCTTTTAAACCACAAATACCAAGAGATTAGCTATAGTAATAAGATGCTGCCTTTTATAATATTGTAAGCCATTGGGCAAGACCATTCTTTCACCACACTTTATTTTATAAGTCCAAGTTGTTTTAGCACTTACTTGAAAATTAATCGTTTTGTCACATGATCAGCTTTTGCAGCCAAGTCTGTTCTATTCATGTAGTAAAGAAGGAAGTCACCTCAAGAAGCTCATGCCACAATAAACTAGTTAATCTCCAAGATGCCAAAGCAGCAAGAAAAGAAACTGCTACAAGCTAACATAGCTCTTTTTTCAGAATTTTTCCACTGGGACAGTACAATGATATGGCAAAAACATTTTATCCCTGCTCTAAAAGACAACTAAGTCCTTGAACTGGACACATGTGCCTTTGCAACAGTTGAGACCCCCCCTTTCTTTTCTTTTGCAAAGTATTTGCTGACACAGCAACTACTAACTTTTTGCAGGAATAAGGACTAAGTGATTGAATTCCTGTAGTTACTGGTCAGGCTTTGCCATGTGTAAATGATTGTTTTGGAACCAGAAGCACTGCCATTTCATAATCTAGTTTCAAAAGGCATGGACAGATGCACAAAGCTTCTGAAGTCACTGAAAAAGAAACCTGTAGATTAGTCCTGGCGACAAAGACTGCTAAACTATTTTTAGGTGTAATGAGCTATGAATGATTTACTAGCTGCATAACTAGAGAGTTCGGGAGATGACTACCATCACTAAAGCTAACAAAATACTCCCGTTCCAAATGAATCCAAATGAGACTGTGAAGTCTTGTAAAATGACACTTCCCAAATATAAGCCCACACAGAAGATTGCACAAACTGAGACGCTGGCAGCTTATTCCCAAGATATGTTCCACTCATACCTCTTTGAAAACTTCTCAAAGCCCAACTCAGTCCTCTGTTGATCACATAGCTTACATAAATAGTGCCTGAGATGGCCCAGGAGAAGCTGCAGTAATGCAGACAGCGACAGATAACAGCAGACACATAAGCATGAAACTAAATTTTAGTATGTGAAAGAAGCAGCATAAGCTATCTTTGGTCTAGGGAAGTCTGGAATCTGGGTACCACCAAGCACTGCCCTGCAAGTTGCCCATTTGTCCTAAGTGCCAGATTAGGAACAAAATGTAAAATATTCTTAGATGAACTAAATATAATGTAACTGTTGTATTATTGCTATCAGAAACTATGGTCAAAGAAAGGAGTTGCTTGTTTAAAATCTCTCATATTATCAATCTTTTCTGTGTGTAAGAAAGGCCAAATGAGGCTAGTTTTAGGTGACAAACTGACTTGAGCAACCAAAATGTATCCAGTAAGCAATGCTTCCAAAGGAAAGAGAATCAAGCATCCTTTTGCAGGGGAAGAATGTTTTCTCTCATTCTCCAAGAAGAATCACCCTCACAAGTCCCTTTCTGTTTTTCAGTGGAGCATTTTCAGTTGAAACCAGTTTCCTGGAGACTTCCAAAGAGTCTATTAAAGGCACTTAGAGTTTTGCTTTATATATTATGGGTATATGATTTGCCTGTTAAATTGTTTTATCTGTTCTTATCAGTTGTAAGGTGGGGAGGGGGGAAGCCTAAAATCGAAACACAGAGAAAGAAACAGAAAGAAGAGAAAAGGAATGTTATCACCTAACAGAGTGTAATGGGGGTGAAAGAATCTGTAAAGCCATGTTGAAAAAATATGTATCCTTCTAAACCCTACGACCTTCACCATCCAAGGTGTTGTTTGTTTGTTTGCAGAGGGAGGGGAAAAGACTTGCATACACTGACCCAACATATTTCCAAGCAGACATTTGTACTGCACAGACCATGCCCTCAAAAAAGACACTTTTCCCCCAGCAACTGGGCAATGCCTAGCTCCAGCAAAGGGCTACAGACCTCTTCACAGCAATCCGAAGAATGGACTGCACTAGAATGCAAGTCCTAATGCAATCAATGGGACTTGTTCACCTCGAAAAGGTGCTGTTTGTCTCTCTTTAGTTTTTATTAACTTCAGGCATCAGAATAAAGGGTTTACTAAGGAGACTGACAGCATTTCTTGCAGCTCAGCATTAGGAGGAATTATTCCTTTCTACCTTACCCCAATTTCCTTAATATGAGAGAAAAGATGCCCCACATCACATTGTCCCAGGGGAGGGAGGGGGGAGGGGAAGAAGTGGACTCCCGGCTTTAGAAGGAGAATGGGGGAGAGAAGAGGTCTCCCCAGAAACAAGTTGTCTTTGGGAGAGCGAGGGGAGAAATTTCCGCGAGCCTCGCTCTTGGAGGGCTCTCCTCAATCCTGCACTTGAACGGAGAAGGAACCGAGGACGAGGCAGGGCTGCCTCTGCCGCGCCGAGGAGGAGGGGTGTCTTGAGAGCCTCCCAAAGGGGGCTTCCCCAGAGGCCACATCCTGCCCCAAACCACCCAACCGAGCCACCGTCTGCCCCGCATCCACCCGGGCCGCACTCACGTGGAGAGCTTCCGCGTCCAGAAGAGGCCTCCGGGCCACAGCTCCTGCAGCTGGACGGCCCGGCTGAGGTTGAGCTTGATCTGGAGGAGGAGGCGGCCCGCCTCGGCCTCTAGCTTGTCGCCGTAAGGCAGCAGCTTATTGTACACCAGCTCCTTCTGCGCGGCCGGCGGCGGCAGGGGCGGAGGAGGCGGCGGCGGCCCGGCCCCGGCCCCGGCCATAACGGCGGCTACGGCCTCGCTCCTTCCCGGCCCGTCCCGGCCCGTCCGGCGACGACGCGCCCCTCCGAGAGCTTCTCCTCCGAGCCGCTGCCGCCGCCGCCGCCAAGCCGCGGCTGTGGCGGCTTCGTCTTCCCTCGGCCCGGCTGCTCCCGCACGGCTCCCCCGGGCGTCTGTCACACAGCGCCGCCTGGTGACGCCGCCGCCCGCGCGCGGCCAACGAGAGGCGGCCTTGCTGTTGCCGCCGCCTCCGGGCGCTGCTGGCGGCGCGCGCGGCGGCGCGGAGGTCACTTCCGCTGTGGGGGAGGGGCGGGACGAGCCTCGGGAGCCGCGGGCGGGGCGGCCTGCGGGGGCCGGGCGGAACGGGGGGCCCGCGGTGGTCGGGCGAGCCATGGGGCCGGCGCTGGCGGGAGGCCCGGGGGTGCCGGCCGGGAGCCAGCGGCGCCTTTGCTGCCCCCTGCACCTCGCGTCGGGGCGCTCGATCCGGACGGCTGCCCGCTGAGAGGCGCGCCCGCTCGAGCCCCGGCGGGGTCCCTCGGGGGTCGGCAGCCGCCCCGGCTCGGCCGGCGTCTTCTCCGTCAGGGCGCCCAACTCCAGGCGAAGGGGCGCGCCGAAAGTTGCCGCGCGGGGCCCGGAGCTGCGGGGTGTGAAGGGAAGGAGCAGAGAAGGAGGGGGGCTGCAAGAGGGAGACGGCGAAGGACAGAGAAAGGGGGTGGGGGAGGTCTGAGGGGAGCCTCGAGGAAGCTTCGTGGGGTCGGGGAGATAGCTGGAAGCGGCGGAGTGTTGGGGGGAAATAAGTCCGAGGGGAGCCTGCGAAACGACAAGGCGCCCCTATTGAGCTGAGGAGATTTACGGAGCTTTGGGGGAGGGGAGTGAGGGAGCCGGTGGGGGAATGGCCCGAAGGAGGCAGAAATGTGGGAAAGGGTAGAATTAGGGAGGCTTCAGGGAACGATCTGCGGCTTAGAGACGTGAGGCTGGGTGGAACCCATGGCTGGATGGGAAAAGCCGTTATGGAGAGGCTAGGTAATGGGCGCGGGGGAGTGGATTATTGTTATTAGACTGCATTTCTAGCCCACTTTTTCCTCTTGGGAGGAACTCGAGGTGGCTTATATAGCTCCTTTTTATCCTTACACCGACAACCCTGCAAGGTAGGCTGAGCTCAGTCTGTGACTGGCCCAGTCACCCAGTGATCTTCAGGGCCAAATGGGGACTAGAACCCAGATCTCCCATGTCCTCAGTCCAATGAAAGGTATTTTGCAGAGTGAAGAAAATGTGTAGGAGGAAGTACAGTGAGCCTAAAGAGGAAGGAGTGATATGGATGGTGAAAAATAGGAGGCTGTTGACTTAGGAGTGATAGGAGAGGTGTGTAATTGAATAGTGGGACCTGAGTGGACTTGGAGGCGTGGCAAGACGTCACTTGAGCCAGGTCTTACTTGTCAAACCTGTTTTCAGTTGAAAGGTTTATCTATGGATTAAGTGAAGTAATAATCAAAAGGACAGCATGTCAGAGACAATTTCCCTTACCACTCAGCAGTATGCACATTTGGAGTTTGGTGCCCTACCATGCTTTTCTTTCTGCCTGTCTTTTTGTTTTCAGCCCCCACCCCACCCCACCCCACCCCACAAAAAGCAAAATCTTTTGTATCAACTAGCTTGAAAGGATATGGTTCTAGCAGAAAACTGGCCTAGATTTTAACAAATGTGAACTAGCAGGAATACTCATGTGAGAACTAAGAAAGGATCCTATCCTGAAGGACGTATGGCCTCTTTAGTCAGCTCATTTATACAAAGTACCTACATAGCTGTATTATATTCATCATTGCCATTATTTTTTCATTTCTGTACCACTCAATAATTGAAGCTTTCTGGGCAGTTCACAGCAATTCATGAAACATAAAAGAAATAGATAATAATGCAGTACTAAAATTCAAGCACAATGAAATGCAGCATAAAATTCAATATTTAAAATTTAAAACAGTTAAAGCAACTGAAATATTAGAGTAAAAACTAGATGTCCCAAGTACCTCGAGATAACTAGGTATCACACAAATTTACATTAGAGGAAGCTTCCTCTTTGGATGGCTGTCCATGAAAAGGTTCATTCAACCTAGCTGTCAGCTGCTGGGTAACTATTGGAGCTTCATCACACTCACACTTTTGTACTAGTTAATTGCTTACTTTGAATTATCACTGAAAGGCCTAATAGGCCTTTTTTGCAACTCTAGTGGAACCAGTCTTAAAGGGATAATGTGGGTGGTATTGGAGCAACTTTTTTTTAATGCCCCAAGAATTTTTGTTCCAGCAGGCTAACAAGACTACTCCTTTGTAGTTTGCTACTAGTACATTGTTAGGGAAAACAGTGAAAACATTTAATAGTACCAATTATGTGATTCATTCTTTCATACCTCTCTGCAGCATCCTGAAGGGAGCTAACTGCTTGCCTGTAAAAGCAGGTTGCTTACCTGTAACTGATGTTCTTCGAGTGGCCATCTGTGCAGTCACACATATGGGTGCTGCGCCTGCGCAGTGCCTTTGGCCGGAAGATTGAAAGCTAACGGTTTTTGGCGGGAAGCTCCGCTCCCCTCCCCCATGGGCTATAAAGAGCGGAGCGTCCATCATTTGTTCAGTCTTTGATGACCGAACGTGCACCCCCTTGTGGAAAAATTCTCAGTATGAGATAGGAAAAAAGGGATCGGTACCGAAAGTTTCCCATTTTTTCTTGGTACCGATCCCTTTTT